TTATGATAAAAATATATATTTAATACATTTTAAAGTACATGTTAAAAAAACCCTTACACATATAATTTGATTTTATATTAAATCATAGTCAAAGTAGTTGAAATTATAATGAAGTAGAATTGCATTAGGAGGAAAGTTTATTATTGAAAATAATTGAATTTCGATTTTCGAAAGTCTATTAGAAATTTATTTTGTATTTATTGAAAATTTATTAAAAATTTTAAAAATTTTACAATATAGTAAAATAAAATTTGACCGAGTAATAACTACGTCTACCAAACCAAGCAAACTCTAATCAATAGTTAATTTTGCGGAGACGCGGCTGCTTACCAAGGATCTTTAAAAGAGGTGTAACCAACTTGCGTCGTAGTGCCTCTGCAAATGAATGAAATATAATTAGGATTTCGAAAGAATGAGTTTCGTTGCTGCAATAGTCATCGCCTCACCATGATATCTAGCCAAAATAAAAATACATCTATGGGGGCCTTTCAAATAATAAAAAAAAAAATTGAGGAATGAGAAAGAATGAAATAACTACCTTTCTATGATCGTTATCTTTTATCTAAAAGGATTGCCTCTAACTACGGTACAAAAAAAAAAAGACCCAACTAACTCTACGAAAGTCATGAGAGGGAACAATTAATAAAGAAAGAAAAATTGAAAATACACACGTAGAAGAATATATACTTAGGAATTGAAGACAAGATTGATAACACGAGCGTTCTTCTCCTGAGGCATCATGAGCTGCATCGCTTGGATTGATTAATTCTACATTTACTTCTATGCCTTCAATTACAATTATAATTAAAAAAAAAATAGCAGTTAATAGAATAAATCAATCCAGAAGAACAAATCGGAAAACAAATTAACAAAGATATGGCAAAACCCAAAAACTTTATTTCTAGGGTATGAGAGTAATTAGGAATCCAAGTTTAATAAATAATTAAAAAAACATTATGATACATCCTTGATTCAATACACCTATTAATTACTAATTAGCCCAACTATTAAAGCATTCTCACTTTTAATTCAAATTTTAAAATAATAATTTCTTAATAAATACATTGTATTAAATCGAATAATGTATTAATTATTATTCATAATTAAATTAAATAAATTAGAAGCAAATTAAGTAAAATATGTAAATATGAAAGGAGAAGCAATACTAACAACGATATATCCACAATCTCACAAATTTAAGTTGACTTCTTCTGTGGAATGGAGGTGGTGTTTTAGCAACTCTTAAAATGATTGGCATATAACCCTCAGAGGATTCTTTAGTTGCCCAGTGTGGAAAATGGTTGAGTAAATCCCATGCAATTTCTGATCTCAAAAAGTTTTGTTAGAGAAAAGTAAAATTACAATTATAAAGCAAAGAGAAAGAAAAGAAATGATAATTAGAGCTCTTACTGAACATTTTCTTAGTTACACACTCTTCAAGAAGAATAAAGCCATAGTCTCTATGTAAAAATTCTGAAGGAGTCTCTCGGTAGAGGAAGCATGCTATGTCCTCCTGGCCAGCGGTAATTGCAGCATGAAGGGCAGGCTTTAATATTTTCCTATCAGCTCTTATATCCAGCAAGCGGTAGACGACTCGCTCTACTCTCCTTTTACTCCCTTTACAAATGGACTCATGCAAAATACCTTGCAGCTCTGTCAATAATGAATGTAAAGCAATGGCGTTGGTATTCTTAGCCTCCACAGTTGGGCAAAGCACGATTTTGGAAATGTAAACATTACGCCGAATTTACACACAAATAAATAAATAAATAACAAACACTCGGTCGCCTCTTTATAGAGATTGACAAGGCAAAATGAGCAAATGGCTCCTTAATATTTTTAAATTAAAGTAAATTAGTACTCAATAAAAAGAGTTGAACTAATTAAATCACCATCCAAACTCTTTATTTTAAAAAAATTAATCAAAATTTAACAGTGGACGATCAACTTTTTATCAAACTCCAAGAACAATAGTGTAACAAAAAAAAAATAATTGCGTTGCTTAATTAAGGCTGAATTTTAGAGACGATCTACTTTAATTTTGATAGTGATTGACATACACTCTAATTTAATACATTACATAACAGATTTGTTAAAAAATTAAAATTTTTTGTCTAAAATTTAAGACAAATTTAAAAATGTAACAATAAATAGAAATTATAATAATTGACTGTACTCATATTATATTTTAATAATTAAATTAATTAGGATGAATATAAAAAACTGTAAAACCGAATATATACCTATGATTTTCCAGATTGATAAAATAGATAAATTTATAATGTCAACGGTAATATTGGGAAAATAAAATTTAAAGTTCTCCAAACTATTCAAGAGAAATGCCTTTGCCAAGCGTAACTAGCACTTGGACCTTGATTGGCTTAGTATTTTCTAAAAAAAATTTAAAAAACTAAAAAAATGGAAGGATTCAATAAGAAGAGAAGTGCTTGTGATTCGGTTCATTTCTGGTGTACATTGTACTCCCTTTTCTTTAAGAGCAGTGCTAGGGGCACTCGCCTCTTGCACTCTCCGGCCAGCACTTCCTCTTTCATTGGGCCACGTAAGCTTGTTTCAGGCTTTGAAGGCAACCTCTTACCGACCAGACTAGCGTGGCCCAATAAATGTGAAAGTGCTGGCCGGAGAGTGCAGAAGGCGAGTGCCCCTAGCACTCCTCTTTCTTCAAAAGGACGTGTTGGGCTTATGACAAAAAATT